CAATGTTGCGTCTTCCTCAGGGATGTGTTTTAGGTCTGTATCCTGGTCCCTTGTTTCTCCTGTTTTATCTTGCTTCTTTGCGTGGACTGTGATCCTCTGTTATCTCTGAGGCATTGTGACATTTTTGTGTTTATATTTAATTGGTGATTGTATGCTGGAGTGACGTGCCCGCGATTTTTGTTTTATTTTGTTTATATGTTATCTACATAAGCAGGGTGCTGTGCTGTGCTCCTCTATTCACTAGCTGACAGCACTTATACACTCACCACCTGTCTCCTTTTCCGTTGTCGGTGTCTTGTATGTCCCTGCTGACCTTGGCAAACAGCTTATTCTTAGGTCCCTGGAATCTGAATGAGAATGCTATCACTTTAAAATCCAAAATGGTTGCTACTTGTAAAGATTCAAAATGGCTGCACCCTCGGTCACTTTATATATCCAAAATGGCTACCACGCATAAACAATCAAAATGGCCACACCCTCTGGACAGTGGAAAGTCAACAGCTCAGGCAGTCTCCCTCCTTGCTCTTTCCCTTCCTAATCACAGGCCACCAGCGCAGTCATCCCTGCAACCCTTGGTGACCAGGGCTGATCTTTAGGTCAATTCTCAGGTCACAACACCTCTTGGAAATATTCAGGCTGTTGGTTCCATCAGAATAGGTGACAGTCCGCAGCTCTGACCGTCTCTGTACTCACTGTTTTCATTTAGGTTTTTCCACTGTTGTTGTTGTAGTTATGTGCCATTGAGTCGGACCCGACTTACAGCGACCCCTCCTTGGGTTTCCAAGGCAGTATCACTATGGAAGTAGATTGCCCTATCTTTCTTCCGAGGAGTGGCTGGTGGGTTTGAACTGCCAGCCTTCTGGTTAGCAGTCAAGTGCTTTGTAGGCACTACACTATCAGAGCTCTGGTTTTTCCACTAGTTGATGCCTAATCCACTTCTGTATAGTTCCTTCCAAAGCTCAGGGCTCCAGGATTATCTTCTGTATCTCTGTCAATTGGTTTTTCTTTTCTTTGTTGAAGAGGGTCTGTGCCGCTTGTCTACTTATTCCTCCATCTTATCAGAAGTCACAATTATGTTTTTAAAGTTATATATTTTATTGACTGGTTTTGCTTAATATCACATTAGCTTTGTAACCATATACATGCAACTTACTGCTTACATTAATTTCATATATCTAATAAATTTCATTATTATGGGGAGGAAGCTCCATCCTGCTTCCACGTCTGTGTCCTGAATGCTTCCTTCCACATCTGCAGCCATCAGAACCTCGGGCACCCTCTGTAGCCCACCAGCTACCATCTTCGTGGAGGTTTTCCTGGCCCTTCCCCGGTCACACCCTAGAGCACTTCTTTGGCAATATTTTGGTGCAGACTCACCTCCTTCATCTTTCATATCATTAGTTGCTTCAGGACAGAGGCAATGCTTTTCCACATTTGGCATCCCACAAAATAGGGCTTTGGGGCACCCAAAAAATACTTGTTGAATTGAAAAGGGCCAGCTTACCCTGATGGGACACTCAAAGAGGATGAGGACACAGACCCAAAAATGGTACTGCCCCGGTCATCTCAGCTCAGTGCTGCTGGACCTGGAGTTGCACCATGCCAGCAGGGAAAGAAAGGCAAGCACTGTCCGCCCAAGCTTCTGCTCGGAAGGGCTCCTCTAGACTGGAACCTGCTTAAAATCCCAGCTCAGAAGTGATAGGGGATCAGGCCTCTCGCTGTGGAAAGTTACAAGGTGGAGAAACCCACTTGTTGAAAAGCCTTGTGTTCTGTACACAAACATCGGGGCTCAGCGCCTCACCTCAAAGGCCTCATTCAGCTCCCCACAGGCCTCGTAGCACCCACAGAGCTGGACATGACCCCACCAGGCTCAGCCCTGCCAGGCCTCGGTGCAGCCCTTGGCCTGCAGATCAACAGCTAACGATGCTGCCCAACCCTGGAAGGAAACCATGGCAGGGGGTGGCCGGGTCCCCTATGCCAAGGGGCTCAGCAGCGTAGCCAGGCTGCAAATCGAGGAAGGCTGTGAATCCAGGTGAGCCCAGGGAAGGCCCAGGAGGCCAGACTCAGCCAGTGCCAGGAAACCCCAAGACGAAAAGCATCAATGAATTCATACTGTATCCCCATAGGTTAAATGGAAATCAAAAGAGGGGTTTGTGTTTGTGTTTTAAACTAAGATGGCTCCATCATTACAGCCATCACCTATGTCCAGCTGCATGTGGATAAAACTTCAAACAGCATTTACTAAGCACTCTATAAAGAAAGAAACCACGTAGCTACATCCTCTCAGTACTTATCATCCAAGACAGATTATAACAAAAAACATCCATTTTGTCCGTTCTTTTCTGTAGCAAATGTGCCTTTTAACAGCTACAGAAAAGAGCCAATCATTTACATAGGCCAACAGACCAAAGTCAAAGTGAATTCTGTGGGCTGGAGCACAGAGAGGAGCGTGGGTGTTCCTGGTGGTTAGGCAGCAGGAAAGCACTCTTTTACCTGCCCCCATTCACAGCCTGTTGTTGTGTGCCGAGTCAGACCCGACTCATGGCAACCCCTCCTTGGGTTGCCGAAGCAGCATCATTACGGAAGTAGATTGCCCCATCTTCCTTCCGAGGAGTGGCTGGTGGGTTTGAACCACCAGGCTTCTTGTTAGCACTCAATGCCTTAGGCACTATGCTACCAGAGCTCTCATTCACAGTCTAGCACCTGAGAAGTAAGACAGGGGCACGGAAGGAGGACCAAGTCTGCTCATCCTTTCAAACCCAAGAGGCACATCTGGCATTGGCAATTCAAGCCCAGTGCACCCCTGGAAAAGTTTCCTCTATTTGCTGTTTCAAATCCTTGATACTCAAAGGGGTAGGAGCGCTGATGATGCGGTGGTTGGCTAAGTGCATAGCTGCCTACCAAAAGGTGGGTGCTCTGAACCCACCCACTGCTCCATGGGAGAAAGATGCAGCCGTCTGCTTCTGTGAAGCTCACAGCCTTGGAACCCTAGGAATTGGAATTAACTCGATGGCGATGGGTTTAGCGGTTTTTGGCCTCAAAGGGTAGAGTGCCTAGGTGGGGCAAATGGTTAACGCACTCGCCGCTAACCACAATGTTGAAGGTTCGAGTCTACCCAGAGGTGCCTTGGAAGAAAGGCCTGGTGATCTACTCCCCAAAAATCAGCCATTTGAAAACCCTCAGAAGCACAGCTCCTCTCTGACACACATGAGGTCACCATGAGCCAGAGTCAACTTGATGGCACCGTTATGGACACTGGGGTTGTCTGAATGGACTCCACAACCACGGGTCGTTTGGGTTTGAAGAAAAGGGACTCACTGTCCAGGACTGGCACCCTTAGAAATGCACAGACCCAGGCCCAGCCCAGACTTGCTGAATCAGAAGATGCATCTTGTTACAAAACTCTAGGGCTGATTCCTACGCACAGGTACATGTAGGAAGCACTGGCCGAAACCGGGAGCCATTTTCCAAGGGCAGCGGCTATAAGCCTGAGGGGACTTAAGGAGTCAGTTCTCCTGCCCTCAAAAGTACTAGCAGGGCCAGTGCGGAATCCCAAGAGAACAAAATGTTTTCTCCACTGAATAGACTAAGTAACACCTTGAGAAAACGTAGGGGCAGCCAAGGCAATCAAAAGCAATTCATGCAACCAGGCTCCAACTTCCTCGAGAGTTGGGTATTACACTGCAAGCCTGGACTAGTGGGCAGGGCAGAGGCTCGTTCTCTGCCCCCTTGAAAGATGCCAACACAACCTCACCCGTGTACACCTACAGCAGCACAGAAGGCGTTGCTTGTTGACACAGATTTTCCTTTTTTTTTTTTTCCTTCCCCTTTTTAAACCTGTTGCTGTGCGTCCAAAGGTCTGTTACAAGACGCTGGTGAAGTTGCAGGAGTGGCAACAGCACTTGAGCTGTCCCAGTTGTAATGAGTCTGCACACACAAGCTCTGATTCCACCAGGGGAATGCAGCCAAGCGGATCTGGGCGGCACGATAGAGGAAAAGTTGTCTAATACTATGCTACTCAAAGTGGGTCCACTGATCTGCAGACCCAGAGGGTAGTTAGGATGCACACTCAGACGTCCTCCAGCCAGATTTGCTCAATCAGAATCCGCCTTCTAAGGAGATTCTGGCCAGTCAAGGTTGGGAGGTCTTGCCCTAGCCAGAGAGAGTGGGAGGGGACGCACTGTAACCACCTCTAAGCCCAGGGATCCTGGGTCCCACACATCACCATGAATCAATGAATGAAAAGGACCATGGAGAGTCACTACGGAAAAGAAGGCGGGCCAAGCCCAGCAGCTCACCCTGG